ACACATTCTGACTGTGACATGTAACAAAACAACTGGAGCGGCAAAGGATCTTGATTTTGGTTTCCTTCCCACCCTACACGTCTCCTGCCAATGAAGAGTGAGCGTGCCTGTGGTCCTCCTGGCACATCGGGGGTAGTTCCCATTCACACTGGTCAATCTTCGGGATTTTCCGCATATTACAGGCCATCACGCATCTACATCAACCCAGAATGTCCAGATAAAAGCTCCTGTTTGGAGTCTGGAGAGAAATTGTCAAATCTGAAAGCCTGTGAACTCTCTCCATCAGCGGAGACCAGATGCAGCAAAGACCATGGAACAAGGTATCAGAGGCCTAATTTCAGACTGACCCCCTAACCAGCTTTATGACTCTGGGTAACTCACCTACTTTCTCAAGACTCTTATTCTCACATCAATAAAGAAAGAAGTGGGCCTAATGGTCTCCCAGATCCCTTCCAGTCTTAACATCCTCTGATTTTATGACTAAAGAGTCATACTAATAAGGCTAAAATTGTGGCTTAAACCCATATAAGCCAATGGGGATTATGCTAAGAAAAACTCTATTCCACACAGACAGAGCCAATCTGAGCAAGTCTTCCCCACCATCAGACAGATGTGTGCCAGGGGTGCAAGGGGCCCCTTCTACAGAGGACATGCACCGAGTGATTCAGTAATAGGCCAATTCATTCATTCAATCAACAAATATTTACTGAGCACCTTCTAGGCAGTGTACAAAACAGACAAAACCCTTTCCCTTGTGACATTCACATCCTAGTGAGGGGAAGGGGGAACCAGATAGTAACCGAGCAGGAAGGACAAGGCTGGGGTACATGTTACAGAGCGTGGTCAGGATGGACCTGCTGATAAGTTAACTTTTCAGCAGAGATCTGAGGCAGTGAGCCATGCAGATACCAGGGGAAGACTGTTCCGGGCAGCAGCAAGAACAGGGCCCTCAGACAGGACTGCGTCCAGTTTGCCTGGCACGTTAAAGGAAACACACGAGCCCAGTGTTGACGAAGAGGAGTCCGAGGGGGAAAGCAGGAGGAGGCAAGGTCAGATGGGCAGGGGGGCCCAATCACGGAGGGAAGGGACAGCCACTGGGGCATGTGAACAGAGGAGTAACATGACCTGAATTCCATTTTGAAAGACTGCTCTAGCTGTTGTGTTGAGAGTAGACTGAAGGAGGCAGAGGTGGAAGCAAGGAGACCAGTTAGGAGGCTGCCAGGATAGTCCAGGGAGCAGTGATGGCAGCTGGCCCCGGGCAGCAGCAGCAGCAGGCTGATGAAGGACAGTCAGAGTCTGGGACATACTCTGAAGCAGAGTCAACAGGACACTGGGACAGGATCCGGGAAAACCTTGGAACTACTGCAGAATCTAAAGAAGCTGAATGACACTAACTCCAACATCCACTGTGGGATGCTAGGATTTGGGGGTTTGTTTATCTCTGTCATCCAGTGTCCAGCACAGTGCCTGACACATCACAGGTATACAGAAAATGCTGAATGAATGAATGTGGAACTGAATACATTACGAAGCCAGAAGATGCACAGCTTGACAGGTCATCAGGAGACAAAAAGCATTTGGTACTAGACATATTTTACTAACAACGGATTCCCCCTCCCCTGAGTGAATCTATCTCTTTTTGTAAAAAGTTCCCCTTTATAACTCATTTCACAGTACTAAGTAGTGAAACTGACTGAAAATTTTACATAATACAGCTGAGAACCTGAACTCCTTGGTCATTTCCCTAAGAGGCCAAATGTCATCCTCACATCACCTCACCAACTCCATCTAAAGACAGGGGGAGCGTTCCACAGAGTAATCGCGTGTTTTAATGAACAGTGAGTCATGAGGCTAACTAGAAACGTATGATTATGGATCATAACATCATTACAACAAGCGAGGAATAACACAAACCAAATCTGTACTATTCCTACAGGACGAACCAGGAGCTATCCTGGAACGTGCTCCCTTCGTCTGCGAAGCCAAGGACAGGAATTTCTAGATTTTTGTCCCCTAATAACACTGCTCTGAAAAAGGTGACAATTCCCAACTACAGAAGCTTCCCTGTCAAGGTGATGAGAGTCCCAATGTTCTTAACCCACGGAGACTGAGTGTGCAAAAGAGAGAAGCAGAACGTTCAGTATCTGGGAGAAATAACGACAAAAGTGTATTATAAACCACATTCTGGCAGCAGTTTTCTCGGTTAAGTCATTGATCATCTTGAAGGGCTAAATTAAAACCCAACATTAATCAGGCAGTAGGTGTGAAAAACATCTTATTTACCAAATTAGAAAAAAGAGGAAGAAAGATAAGCCTTGTAAAGTGGTTGAGATCAAATTACATTGTAAGGGAAGTTGCAACATTTGGGAGAACAAGTCCTAGACAGATTTGTTAGCTGAGTCCAAAATCATTTGATGTGACCTTGGACCAACTATTTAACTTCTGTGCCTCTGTCTCCCGTCCGTGCCTGTCTCCCACTCACTGTAAGGAGAGCAAATGATTTCAGCCCCTCCTGTCTTAACAGGGATGTTATGAAGCTGAGATCATGTCTCTGGAAGCTCCGGGGGTTTCCTGGAGAAAGATACTCCACAAAGGATAACGTCTTCAGTAAGATAATTAAGGGGTCAGGCTACTCTTAGAAACGCCCCCATGGTATGGAGGCTCCCAGCATCATAGCTCCAGAGTCAGGCAACGAAAATACTGCATAAAATGCCAACCTCAGGGCTAGGGCCAGGCTCTTTGCAGATAATATCAGGAGCCCTACATGTGAATGCAATCTCACATATATAATAACTACATTCAGATGTTTAATAAACACTTAGTAATGTTTTAAATGACCAGTATCTTCCTGACATGACCACTTTGTTGCCTATCTAGAAGGAGAGATGGCGTGCAAGGGATGATCAGGTACCCTGGGCAAGTCCTGACCCTCAATTGCCACCTCTGTACGATGGGGCTGACAATACTGAGCGTTAAAGGAAGGAACATGTGAAATGCTGCTGGCACAGCCCTGGGCTCAGAGAAGGAGCAAAACAAGCACCACAGCCCTCCTCCCCCTGGCACTCTGCTCCATAAATAACAAGTGCTGTTATCCTTTACTCACAGACCCAGAGGAAAATGACATAGGAGAGAGGGTCACCCATAAATATCTTATCTGCCTTTATTCTCCTATAACCTCGAGACTAGAGCAAACAGGCTGAACTTTAATTAGGATCATAATGTGAGATGTCCCAGGTAAGCCAGGCTCATAAACTCCAATTAGGAGGAGACTGGCTTTTACTGGACCGCCCCATACCTGGCCTACTCAGTGACAGAAGCAGACCCAGTCCTTTGTCCCAGCTTCCCAGAGGAATCCATTACCAAGCACACGAGGCTCCAGCGGGATGTCGGGTCACAGGCTTTCTATTCCGGCGATTGTGGTCTAAGAATAGAACTCCCGGGCACAGCGCAAATGGACTCACAAGGATTGTGTACATCTACTATTCAAGTCACCATCTACGACTATTTAAAGCACAAGGCCAGCAAGCCCCCCTCTGAATGGGAGACTGAGAAGGGGAAACGGGCAGGGTGTGTTTTTAACATAGTTCTACAACTTACAGAGCAACGTGCAGAGCCCCAGTTTGGGTCCGGGGATCCATCCTCACGAGCTCGGATATCTCACTTGGCTCCCTGTCAGCCAGTGAGTAAAGAATGTCAAGTTCATTTTACAAATGGAAAAGTGGGAAGCAAGGAGGGACCCATGTATACACTGCTAAGTCCGTTGCTAATAACAAAACGGCTCAAGCTGACGTGTGCCTCCACATGCCAGGCCCTTACTAGGCATTTCACCTTCCCTCACTGAAACCTCACAACCTCCCCACAAGGTAGCCAGTCATTTTGTTCACATTTTATAATAAAAACACAGGTCCTAGCAGATTAAGCAATTTACTCAAAGTAACACAGTTTATAGGTGGCACAGCCAGGATCTGAAACCTGGTCTCTCTCAACCTATAGCTTGTTGTTTGGGGTTATGTTTGTTTGTAGTTACACCATACTGCCTCTCTTGGTTTCTCTCTGCTAACTTAACAACCCAAGGAACCTATAATCCAAAACCATATTCTAAACATTAGATCTTATGCCTTATTACTTATATCATCAATTTGGTGAGCAAAGAGAAACATGTAGTCCAAGGCCAACAGCAGTGTCTTTAGGAACAGAAACCAGACCATAATTCCAATTAGCCAGACAAAACAGATAAATTCCACATCAGAGGAAACGTTACTAAAAGCCAGGAGACCTCCTGTCCCAACACCCCTTCACTTCAGCTGGCTTCACATATTCTGGATCTACACAGAAGACAGATCCAGCACTTTCCCACCACTAGATCAAAAGGTAAGTGCTTTAGGATTGCATCAATATGAAGATTTTATTTTTTTAAACTTTATTTTTTTTTTGGTGAGGAAGATTGGCCCTGAGCTAACATCTGAGGCCAATCTTCCTCTTTATTTTTTCCTCCCCAAAGGCCCAGTACATAGTTGCATATGCTAGTTGCAAGTCATTCTAGTTCTTCTACGTGAGACGCCACCTCAGCCATGTCCGTGCCCAGGATCCGAACAGCAACCCCTGGGCCGCCGATGCAGAGCATGCGAACTCAACCATTCGGCCACGGGGCCGGCCCCTGAAGATTTTATTTTGTAAAGCCATTGCCCTGCCCAGCCTCCCTGCTCCATACCTTGTGTCAAACTTCAAATTTCCCAGAACACATCCAAAGTGACAACTCCGGGCCTTACCATATTCAACAGAACTGATAACGATTTGTCAGATCAGGGGCAAGATCAATTCTCTAGCCCCCTTGCTTCCACAGCTCTTCCAGAAAGTTACTTTCATTGGAATCTTTGGTGTCACATAAATCATCGACAGCAGTTGGGGGGAAAATCCAGTAGCAAATACAAGCTCGAAAAAGTAAGCATGACACAAACCAATCTGGGCACGATCTCACAGCCCCTTGGAAATGACTTTACCTGCAGGTCGAGGCACTCATCAAACTCAGCACTGAGACGGTGAGTTACTGGATCTACAGGGCTCCTGGCAGTTTCCGCCACATCTCCGGGGCCGGGCTCTGACATGGTTACCGCTTCCACGGAGAAGCTGACGACGACTGTTTTCTCTCCCTTCCTCCTCCCCATCACATGAAGACAGCTAACTGGCATTTCTCTTACCTAAGGAGGCTAACTGACCGCTAACTAGCGTGACAGCTAGAAAATACGGGGACTCATGCAGTCAAAGCATGAACAGGAACATGCTATTAACCAGTGTAACAGTTCTCTACAGACAGTATTTTCCCTACACGCATTTCACACACATTGTAATCAAATCAGGAGAGAGATGAAAGGAGACTCTGAGGTTCTGAAGCACCGCTCTTCAGGAAGAAAATTTTCCTTTCTTCTAAGACAGGTATCCTGGCTACTGTATCTTTTGAGGTGGCTGAATGGACTTAGTGTTCTGAGTAAGAAAGAAAGGAAATGAGATTTTTTTTTCCATTTAGAGAAATGAGGAAGTAGAATGGTTTATATATAGGTCCGATCTCTTTCAGAGAGTCTGCTTGGAGGCAATGCCACAACTTCAGGCCCTCCTTGAAGAAACTTCATCTCATATCAGGTTCTAATTAAAGACAGGCCCTTTGTAAACACTGACTTGGAGCTGTTGTCAATATCGGACAATAAGCATATAGGGTGGGGGGCTGGATGTATATTGCCTTACTAGCCCCACTCTAAGCAGCTTCATAGTAAAGATTATTCAGTGATAGCGACAGTGACAACACAGATCCTGGCTAATACTATCACCATCCTAATCCTATGGGAAAATTTTACCTGGAAACATTCCTCCCTATCAATCACACCATCAGACAGAGAAGCTGGGTGATTGCTCCAACTTCCAGACACTGATACATTTCAATCACTCAGCAGTCTCTGAGCAACTAGAAAGTAGCCGGTACGTCCACTGTGGCTATAATACGCATCAGACATCCCTATTCCTGGTCTTTAACTTTCCAGGTAAAGCAGATTGGACCTCAATGTGAAAGACTGAACGACAAATCAAAGAACACTTAAATCGCTGAAGAAGGCGCCCCTCTCCTTCTCAGAGGCTAACGCACTCAGAATGAGAGGAGCCACTGCACCCACCGCATAGATCCAGACCATCCCCATGGAAGGAGGAGGACAGGCAGGAAGTCCACTTCCAGAGCCTCTGCCTACTCTTTCTCTCCAGATCCCTGGGAAGAGCGAGCCATCTCCTCCCCCATATCAGTCTGAAATATACAAAGTGTAAACCTTTCTACCAAAGCGGAAGGTCTGGAGGACACCAGCAGCTGTCATGAGTCTCCCTATGACTTGAAGCCTCTCGGCTACAGCCTGGGCAGCTGGAGTCCACATTCAGAAGCGTCCTGTTTCCTGTTCTTCTCTAGGTTAGTGCCCCAGCTAAGAATAGCACCCCATTCATGGTGCTGTGTACACATCCTTTTTACTTGCTGTTTTCTCTTATATATGCAAGAAACCCTGTTCTTGTACATTTTCCAAGGTAACCAAAAATATTTTTACATGGGCACAGAACAGCATTTTTATTCCCTGTCCAGTCCACAGGAAGGCACTGCCTGAAGGAACTGCACCTCGGAGCTGCGTGCCGCCGGCGTGGCTGGGCACGGCCTTCCTCTCTGAAGCGCCAAGGAGAGACTCACGCTCCGAGATGGTAACCTGGCAGCAATATGTTCAGGATGCCCAGTACTTGCCCAGAACCTCACTTCTGTGCCTGTCCTAAATCTAAAAAAGACCAGAGGCAGTAAAATTGGTCTCTTTTTATTAGGTTGACCCATGTGAAATTACATACAAAGTGGCAATTTCATGTGATTTAACCTAAGAGAATCCTGAAAAGCAAATCGAGCATTTTGCTAATAATTAGCAAGAATGCAAAATCCGTTATTTCCCAGATAGCTCCACCCCAAGACCATTTCCTATTTTCTTTAGTAACTAAAACGTTTTGAAGGAAACTTATAAAAGCTATGGAACACCATGTAAGACAGGCCTAGCATTGGTAATAGACATCCTTTCACCACTCGTTCTGTATCCATATCCATATCCATATTCATTCCTGGGCCCCAACAGCTCACAGAGGAACAGCCACATGAACAGGTAAATACAACACAGTATGGAAACTGCTACTCTAGAGACAAGTACAAAATCAGAATTCTGTATGTAGCTCAATTACAACATTTCTCACACTGAATAGGCCTGGTCGTTTGTATGTGGTCTCACTGATTAGACAACGCACATTCAGGGGCAGGAAACGTGTTCTATTTGTTTCTGAATCCCTGGCATGCAGCACAGTTCTTACACATAATCAGTGCTCAATGATGTTTGTTGAATGACTGAATGACTCAGAGGCTGAGTGGCCTCTCTGTAAACGAGATGAGTAACCAGTGTTTCTGTTAAGAAGTTTAAGGTTCTTATATTTTAGACCAGACTACTAATTAAAGCACTAGAAAGAGAATAGCAGTCTCCTGATTACAGAACTAGAAAGAAAAGCAGGAAAAGGGGTGGGAGGGGGCACTATGCTTTATAATCAAAGTAAGTCTGAAATTACAGGCTACAGTCTGCCTCTAGCTGGGAGTGTGACAGCATCTTTTTCTTTCTCAATTTAACATCTTTTGATTTCAATTGATTTTACTTACTTTACAAATTCAAGACCATCAAAAAGTGAAAGGTGTTTTGTGAACTAAAGCAAAGGGGACAAACTCAAAGCACTTTCCATTCGTCTTTTGCAAACGGGTGTCTACTGCAGGTGGGGCGGGTATTGTTCCCTCGGACAGCTGGGATGTCTTTTATGAGTTCACAAAAAGTCCAAAAAAAAAAACAACCCATTTCATGGGCCGGCCCGGTGGTGCAGCAGTTAAGCGCGCACATTCTGCTTCGGCAGCCTGGGGTTCGCCAGTTCGGATCCAAGGTGCGGACATGGCACGGCTTGTCAAGCCATGCTGTGGCAGGCGTCCCACATATAAAGTAGAGGAAGATGGGCACAGATGTTAGCTCAGGGCCAGCCTTCCTCAGCAAAAAGAGGAGGAGTGGCAGCAGTTAGCTCAGGGCTAATCTTCCCCCCCCAAAAAAAGAAGCTAAACAAAAAAAAAACCTATTTCATATGGGCACCAAATAGGTATATAAATATTGAATTAAAGGATCAGGACAAGGGAAGAGATGAGGCTGACCGCCAGGTGGTCAGAATTGAAGGAGGCAAAACACACACACACAATGTCTATAAACCTCCCCACCTCCAACTTAAAAAAGTCACTTGGGTCACCTTTCAAACCTATAGAGCAACCATTTCTAAAAGAAACAGCAGGTAGAAAACTAGCTAGTTGAATATTTTGATGTAGGCTCAAGAAGTCCTTCCCTCTCTTCAAATAATCAAAGCTCTGGAAAAGGGCAGCAGAGACCTCTTTCTAACAGGAAATCTTTCATCTATACATTAACTTCTAAAGGAGAGAGACTGGCCCCCAGCACCACACTGCTTTGGAAGTAGAGGAAGTCTTTATCCTAATGAATTGATCTCATCAATTTAGCTGCACATTTGATCTCAACATTCTTGGTGAGCCTGATGACCCCGGGGAGGCCGGTAAGTGAGGCTGTCCCCAGGGTGGCCCACTCCATCGGCCAACGGCAGACAGGAAAGGGCCATCAAGGGCCACTGGGGAGATTCTTGTTTTATTATGTAAATCACAGGAAGCCACGCTTAGCTCCTCTCCTCTGTGCAGCATCCCTGTCTCTACACAGCGGCCATCAGCAGAGGAGGAGGAGGAAGTCTGTCAGCATAAATGACAATGACAGGCTGGCTGCTCCCCTTGGACAGCAAGTATCCTCCACAAGCACCACCTGAACGCTCAGTCAGGTCTCTCTCTCAAACCCACTTCAGTCCACTTACTGCCAAAGAGTCCCAAAGAGTGGAGGGCAAGTGTGGGAGCCCTGGGGGAAAAGCGTGGACTCTAAGTCAGATTCTGGACTCCTGAATCTCAGTTCCTAGGGTCCGTGTGACCTCAGGCACGTGACTGACTTTCTCGGCGCCTCCAGTGCCTCTCTGTCCAATGGGGATAACAGTATCAACCTCACAAGGCTCTTGTGAAAATGATGTGTTGGGGGAGCTTCTAAGGCCAGTGGACTTCACTCTGCCTCAGGGAAGCAGAAACCGGATAGGAAACTGAAGAAGAGGGACATCCAGATAAGGCCTAGGTGTGGACAACTTCTGCTCGCATGCGTGGCTCGGATGCTGGCATTTCAGGGAGCCAGCTCTGTGAGTTTAAGGCCAAACTGGAGGAAACCTCCACCATGACGGGCACAGCATATTTCCACAGACGTGATCCACACCACTGCAAAATTCCCTCTCTACTCTAGAATTCCTGAGTTGGCCAACTTCATCCAGCTCAGAATAAAACCCAAAGAGTGCCAGCACCAGTCAATGTCTTTCTTTTCAAGGATTACATAAAGTAACCCAAGAAGGGTAAAGAGAATTCATTCTAACATGAAATCAACCTTGCTAAGAAATAAAAGCACCCTCCTCAACCAAAATCTACACTCTTGTCAAGACCTCTGTCAAAAATTATAACTGCTGCAGCCAAACAAAAAAGATGGCCACACAGCAACAGAAAATCCCTTTGGCCGAAAAGTCCATCAAGAAGTTAACTTGCACGCCAGGATGCCTTTACAGTAATTTAAAGCCAACCACAGAATCAGCTACTGCTTTTCTTTTGAGAAAGAGCCTCAAGAAGATGGCCTCCAAATGCTGTCTCCTTCCAACCTACAAAAGGACGAGTCTGACATTCAGACAGCCTTGCAAAGAAACTCCGTTTGCCAGGCCTTGGGTGGCTTCTGTTTGTTTCTGTTGTTTCTGTTCTCACCCTCCCGACCAAGAGGCCCACACACTAGTACTTTTTTAGATTCATTTCTGTCTGTAGGCAAATTTGTAAAGACAAGGTTGTGATATCCGCTGGGTCCCAAAAGCAAGGAAGGACAAAAGACCATACACTCCTTTAAATTCAGTTCAGAGCCAATCTCATGCCAACAGCTAGGAAAATTACTTCCATCATCATTGCTCCAAAACGGAGCCCTCCCACCTCTGCCCCGCTCCCCGCCCAGGCCCCTGGGACCCACACTGCTGTTGGTGCTGGCATCTACAGGCAGCTTGTTCACACACATCCAGACTACCAGAGCAGGAGTTCCGAAGGGCCCTCCAATGAATGAGAGACCTGGGAGGAGAGTGACAGACAGGATCGAATGTCCCGCAGTAGCTTGTTTTCACTGCCACTTGGCTTACCTTACCACCTGCCAGAAGCTGTTCAAACACTCTGAGCAACGCCCAGCCACAAGGATCCGTTCTACTCTGTGGAGCAGAGAGCGCCCGCCCTGCTTCCCAGAAAGCCAAAAGCGGGTATCGCTTTCTCCCTCTAGCAGTCTCTTTAGGATTCAAGCTCTTTCACCCCACCCAAAGGGAACCACAACCCCTAAAATAAGAAGCAGCACTCCAAAAACAAACTGTACTCACTACTCAACCGTTCAAGACTAGGCCTTCTCCACATCCTTGCCGGCCCCAGACTCCTCATCCGTAAGTAGGAATAATAACACGTCATGCTTGGCTGCGTCTTCTTTCAGGGTTGAGGAGATTAACTGAGATACTAGATACTTAGCACAGTGCCAAGCACATAGCAAGGACTCGATAAATATTAGTTATTATTGATCTCATTTTTATTATTCTAAGAACGAGGTATAGTTATTATCAAAAAAGGATCTTCCAAAAAAGACAAGTCATTCTAAGCCGAGTGTCAACACTCCACAGTCAGGTTTCAGTTTCTCATACAAACAGAAGGAACTTCCAAAACAAAGCAGATACTCTAAGAGTATAAGTCACAGATAGATAGATAGATACTCTAAAGGTCCTTATTTGGATTTCGAGAACATTAAGTATAGTGGCATACACACAGATCCATTTACTCAGAAAGAACTTTTTAGCACCAAGTACATGAAAGGCACTGCACTAAGAGTGTGTGTGTGTGTATGTGTGTGTGTGTGTGTGTACACATACACATAATCAATAAGACATATTCATATAGATATATAATTAACACTTGAGCATCTATTATGGGGCAGGCACTGTATTAGGCACTAGAGATAGACAAATAATAAGACCTGGGTCCTGTCCTCCCAAAGTTTATAGTCTACCAGAGGAATTAGCAACTGATTACAGGTTCTAAGATAAAATTCCCTATAGTAAGCAATAAACGCAAAAAGGTGGGAAACACATACGGACTATGCTCTTAGCACACTTGCCAGCTTATCTGACATACTCCAAGTACTCTCTGCACTGCCCTGGCTGGGTTGTTCGTAGGCCCTTCTCTTGTGTGTCTGCTCCTTTCTGCTCCCACCAGCAAGGCTGGGTGCTTCCCCAGGGTCAGTAGTCTGTTCATAATAGGTATACTTGTTATTTTAATTACACATTAAATTATTATATAACTTGATTAAATACGAGTGCAAAAAAAAATGTTTCTGTGAAAAATAAGTCTTAGAATGCTTGGGAAGGCTTGATGAAGGCAAGTTGCTAAAAAAAAAAAAAAAACCTGCTGATGAATTAGGTTTTGCCAAGACGGCAGTAAAAGATTGCAGTGGTGGAGCTAAAACACCTGGAAATGTGCATTTTATTTCTCAAATACATTTAAGAACTCACTTAACTTAAAGAAACTGAAATTGGAAATCACAGATGTTGTATTAAGAAAGTCCATGGAGGGGCTGGCCCCGTGGCCGAGTGGTTAAGTCTGTGTGTTCCGCTGCTGGCAGACCAGTGTTTTGCTGGTTCGAATCCTGGGTGCAGACATGGCACTGCTCATCAAACCACGCTGAGGCAGCGTCCCACATGCCACAACTAGAAGGACCCACAACGAAGAATATACAACTATGTACTAAGGGGCTTTGGGGAGGAAAAGGAAAAAAAAAAATCTTTAAAAAAAAAAGTCAATGGAACTCTAGTCAGAGGACCCAGACTAAGAAAAAGCTCTAGCCCACATCAAAAGATTTATGAACATATGTGCATTTATTATTTTTAAGTTAAAATAAAATGCTTAGGAACTGTAATTTTTTATATATTTTTTAAGATTCTCTGCTTTAACAATTTTGGGGATTGACTAACCAACTACTGGTCCAACTGCCCCAGAGAAGAAGGTGTCTCCATTATACCTACCTGTATCTCTCAGGATGATAGCAGAATTAATTTAATTCCCTTAGCCCAATCCAACTAGGTAGCAGAGGAAGTTGGCCTGAGATTTCACAACATAGATCTGTCAAATACCTCTCAAACAGACAAAGTGTGGGTGGAATGCTGAATGTTAGTCATATTTCCAGAGACCAAGATGCTAACGTTTGTGAGCATGAGCTGCACACTGACTGCTCGTAGCCTGAAGCATGGACCAAGAGATGAAGGGCCAAACGCCACCTCAGCTTTGGTCACAGGCCTGGACAGAGCCCGTCGGTTGATTGAAGCATCTGATGTTCCAGCATGGCATGTGATGCGATCTCTGTCCGGAGAAAATGTCTCCGGCGATGCTTTATTGAGAAAAGGCACAAGTACTAACTATGGAGGAGGGCTGGGATCCCTTCCCAAGACCCCTTGACGATCAGTCTAATACATTTCTGTTTATTTGCGTGGAACGCTGGGTTTCCACACCACATAACAAGATTCTAGGCACTGAAACTGAACCGACCTCATCAGCTTCCCAGCAGAGCTTTATGCCACGGAGATGCAATCTGTCAAGGGAGGCAGCACAGGGCCTCATGTCAAGAGAAATCTGTGCAGCGGAAAGCTGAGTGGAAAGAGAGGCTTCAGTGGAGTTT